CTGCATCAATTGAAAGAGGAGCGACACCACCAGCAAGCCGTCACCGCAGAGGAGCGAAAGGTGCTTAGGGTGCCAGCCATCTGGCGTGCAAGTGACGTCCTTGAAACTCCGCGAACTCCCACGGATAGTGTCCACTTGAGCACGCTTTCCTACTGGTATTCCGCCTTGGACAAACTCGAAAGGGGCGCGTGGTCGATCCGATGCCGACCAGACTTTTTTCCACAATTCTCTTTGGTTTTCCAAGCGGGCCCGAATCGATATGCTGTGTAGGAGCTGCTTGATCTCAGCCTCCGTGGCACGACCTGGTGGCCTTGGGTGGGCCTTAGGGACTTCAACACCTTTGAGGAACCTGTGGGCCTCCCGAGCCCCATGCTCCTCAATAGCTTGTTGGCACCGCTCCTTCCAGCCTGCCCACTCGAGCTGGTCCCCAGACAAGAACACGCAGTTTTTGAAATCCTTGACAAACTGGAGCGTATCTATGAGGACATTGTGGGCCCCATCTGTGTCCACCATGAGGATAACTCCCAAACTCCGAAGGATAGGGTGCCAGAAACCACTCCCCTCCTTCCAAGCTGATCTGAATGGACCTCCAGTGCTAGATATATTGACGAGCTGCATGACCAGAGTCCCCAGGTAGGCATGCGTCCCTGGGGTCTTGCCCTGGTTCAGTAGACTTTGGATTTCCGTGGGCCTGCCCACTACCCAACCAATGGCGCGAGGTGGCTGAGGAAAGGATCGGGTCTTGGTCGCCAAGACTGCGGGCAGCGGCCTCTCCTCCCACTCCATGGGGTAGCCGCCGTGCACTCCTGTTGGGTTGGCACCTGTGACTTGCTTGAGCTCCTGCCAAGCCAGTTCGTTCCACGTCCTGTACGCTTGGTTAAGGATCTGGATTCCTTCGGCTCGGAGGTCCCCTTCAAGAGTGACATGTGCTGCGTCCACCCCTCCAAGACGACTGTAAAAATCTTCTAGAACTTCTAAAACGCCATCATAGTTCGGATGCCGCAGACGCGGGCCTATGAGGGGTTTCGTGGGGATCTTCTGGGAAGCTTTGGGGACCTGAAGATGGATACCCTTGGTGTTCGTACCTATCTGGAGGACCACGGGCCTGTGGGGCTTCAGGGTCGTGTCCAGATCCGTGTCTACTCTCAACACTGCCGCATCCAAATGACGGTACAGCAAGAAATAATCGATGGTCGACCCGCATGGCTTGCCGTCAACCGTCATCACACACGAAGGAGTTGTCGGGTCAGCTCGCACCACCCCCTTGATCACGTGGAGTGGGACACTTAAAGTCAGCGTGTGCGGGTTAACGTTAACGTCGCCAGCTAATACATACGGGGAACCCATTTTAGCAGCTGCAGTCCCAAACGCCTCCAAGATGCCTATGTTTCTGGGTGAAAGCCCCTCGCTGTCGTAGAGGTACGCGCAGAACACATTCAAGATCCCCAATTCCCCATGCTGGACGAAACATTGACACGGTCGACCTGGAACCAGCTCAGGGTTGGGGCTCCAGGCCTCCAAGTGGCCCTTGACCAGGATCATGACGCCTCCCGAGACCTTCTTGGACGGTAGTCTGAGTCCCTTGGGCCCGAAAACTTTCCAGCCTTGCTTCTGAAGTCTTTCTGAACCACCCTGGAACTTTTGAATCAACCTATGCTCCTGAATACACACGGTGTCCCCAAGCGTCGACAGGTGGGCTAGCAGCTGCTTCGCTGACTTCCAGGAGTTGGCGTTGCAGCTCACGTTCCCAAACTTGTTGGCAGCAGGGCGCACCTCCTGGTTGTGGCCCCGGGCAGGTCGGGATGGCTCAGGGGCGCACTCAGGCCGCCGAGCTCGAAAAAGCCCTTCAGGGTGTAATCGCAGCGCCAGATCTTGAGCCGCTTGGAGCTGCTCCCGCAAAAGGGCCCAGCGCTGTTTGACCACAGGCACCGCTTCATCAGAATTCGTCCTCACCATCTTCTCCCAGTCGGTCAGACAAGAAACAAAATCCTCAGACGACGGTATCTTATCACTATTGACTTCAAATGAGTACATGTCTGTCCGTCGGCATTTGAAGGCGGCAACACCTGACCCGCCCACCGCCACTGAAGGTGAGCCTGGGCGAGCTTGCTCCAACCCAGGCCCCCTGGTCGGTGGGTCACGCCAGTGGTGACGCTGAGCCCCAAAGGGGCGCGCGTTCTGACTTCCTCCAGGTCCAGCAAAAGGTTTGGACGGGGTGCTCGTCCCATTATCTTGAGACGAGCCTTCACACATTGCTCCTGGTGCTGCCAGGTTCGAGGGGCACCTGGCAGCCGCGTTCTGACGCCATCCAAATCCAGCAGAAGGTTTGGGCGGGGTGCTCGTCCCATAACCTTGAGACGAGCCTTCGCAATTTACTCCTGGGGCCACCAGGCTCGAGAAGCACCTGGTGGCCGCGTTCTGACTTTCAGAAGACCCAGTCGGCGCAGTCGGGGATGCTGTCCATGAGCCCTGTGATGACACGGTGGTCGCAATCCTCGTCGGCGGCCCAGTCGAAGAAGAGGGCTCCGTCGATCCACACGCGGCAATCGGTGAAATTGATCTTGGCGGCCGAGTCCCCTCCAGCGGAAAGTCCAGGCGAGGGCGCGCGCCGACATAGTCGGGGTCACTCTGTGCCTGGACTTGCGTCGCCTTCGTCGGGTGTCTCGGCCTCGCCCTCGGACGCGTCGAGGGGGCTGGTGCGCGTGGGGTAGCTCTCGTTGGTGTGCATGTGGGCTGGGCGCTGTGACGACCAGGGGCTGAATCCCTGCGCGCCCAGCCCTGTACCCATTCTGGACTGCTAAAGGCCCTGTCGGAAGGCCACTGATCCAGCTGCATGTCGCAAGGCTCTGTCCCCAGCAATCTTCTCACGGATGTTTTTGACGGGGATAGTAGGAGGAGTCGCCTTCGCTGTGGCTGGCGTCGGCTCTTCTGCTTGCTCATGTTGGGTCGGTGGCCGTGCTCCCCCATGACCGCCTGCAGCTGACGCTCCTCCGTCCACCTTGCGCTTCTTCCCTTCCAAACGTTTGATGTGCTCTTTGTGTTCCTCTTTCGCCTTGGATGCCTGCTCCAAAGCTCCTTTAAATATGTTGGCCAGGTGCGTCTGGATGCTGTCCGAAGCCTCAGCTTTGCGGCGCTCCAGTTCCTTGATGTCCTGTTCGTCCAGCTCGTGGGAGGCCACCACATCTGAGATTCCCAGGAAATCATCCATGGTAAAGACGTCTTTGAGGCCAACTCTCCCGTCAACCACTTCACGGATGCTGACTTGGGCTGGGCGCAGAGGTGTCTCTGGCAGTCTTCCAGACGTTGTCTGGATCTCCGCCAGCGCTTTGGTGACCTCCTCATCTGCCTCTTGGAGCTGCATGGCCATGGTGGCGATGTGGTCCTCCAAGTCCGTGGTGGCGTTCCTCCAGCGCTCCAGCTTCTCGTACTCACTGTTGAGTTTCTTCTCGAGCTGCGCTTGGAGGGCCTCTGCTTTTTGCCACCTTTGTCTGGCTGTGGGTGTCGTCGGAGCTGGCGGCCCACGTGTGGCCAGTGCCTGGTACCGTTTAGCTCCTTCCACATCTCCAGCCTCTTGTGCCAACTTTGCCAAGTTGCGTGCTTTGTCGGCGTCCATGTTAGGGAGTGGGCCTGGGGGTAATGCAGCTCCACCGACAGGCCTATCGTCACGACCTTTGCCTCTACCTTTCTTTCCTTTGTATCCGTGCTCGAACTGGCCACCCCCTTTGGTGCTTTCCCCTCCAAGGTCACGTCCTGCAGGGGCGGGCTGCTTCTTGGTGAGGCTGGAGCCGCAGTGCTTACAGCAGAGGGAGCCCCAGGTGTTCTTGCTGCAGCCGCATGCCAGGCATGTGACCATGCTGAGCTTCTTGTTCCCGCTGGAGGTGTACCAGTCATCATCGTCCCGTGTGGTAGAAACTGCCTGCAGGGGTTCGCGCCAGGGATATGAGCCTCCCCACCGCCGTGCACGGCGACTCCAACGAACAGGAGGCCACGCCACATCACCTGCATCTCGTCCGCCCCTCTGGGTCATCAGATGCCCCTTGGGAGCGCACAACAGTGAACTGGGCTCTGAGGTGGCCCCTGCCCGAGAGATAGAAAACGCAGAAAGCCTCGTCTGACCAGGCAAACGAGGGGCACTGTGGGGGCCGCTGCTCCCCCTTGCCAGTGTGGTCAGGTCCTGTGCCAAAACGGCTCCGGACTTGAGCCAAAATGGCTACGGCCTCGTCATCCTCCTCTTCCTCATCTGCCTCTTCCTCCGCGTCCCTCCTCCGCCCCCCCCCCTCCCCCTGCCCTTCCTTCTCCATCCTCCCCCTCTTGGGGTATGACGGCTTCCCCCCCTGATTCCACTGTACTCCGCATCCCTGATCAGGGCAACTCGCCCGAGCATCGTTTCTGGATGGGCTGGTGGGGTTGCGCGAAGCGCCGAGAAATGTAGCACCGTGGACCATCACGGCCAGAGCTCCAGATCTCACCTTCCTGCTGCGTTTCTCGAATAGATCTCGCGACACCAGAATCTTAGGGGGTCTGATCAGACGCCACGATCTCAGGGTCAACGATCATAACGATAACAACGGCAACGATAACAATGATAACAACGACAACGATACCAACGAGCAGAGACACGAGAACGGCACACACACATACTTTCTCGGGGGTCCGCGCGGATTCCTTGGATCGGTGGCGCGCGGAGCGCGCCAAGTCGCGGCGCCAGGGGCGCCGCCAGGGGAGCCCAACGCCCATCCAAGAACTCCGTGCGACCTCCTACCAATTATGCGCATATGCAAATCTGTTGTGCTTCGATCTGCGCAAATCGGGTATATACTGGTACGGGTCAATGCAAGCCCGGGTCAGTCAGGCCTTGCAAGATCCTGCACCCAAGCCCAGGTCTATGCGCCCCTGGCATGGGACGATCCTGCAAGATCTGGCGCTCTGACTGACCCCCGCTTGCGCTGACCCCCGTCCCTCGAGACCCGAGCAGAGCCGGCCGTGGCTGGCTGGCGCTCCTGCTGCCTCACGTCGCCGACGTGCTTGTCGTGCATCTTCCGCATCTCGGCGAGGTCCTCCCGGCGGCCGGCGCCGTCGCTAGGGGGCAAACAAACCTACCTCGCTTTTGACCACCCTCGCTTCCAAGAGATACCAACTGATGCCAAACTACGCCCTGTACTGGTCAGGCCGCTTGACGAGGAGGCGTATGGTATGACTTGGTTTTGCCTGGAAGCGAAAGCGGGGTAGGTAATTCACGCTCTGAGTCGCGGGCAGCACGCCCGCCTCTTCCGCGCCTCCCCTGGCCGGCCAGGGGGGGGGGGAGGCGCGCTCGGGCCCACGGGGCTCGGGCCCGCGGAGCTGTTGGTCAGAACGTCGCCCCCCAGAGGTCTCGACCCATTCTCGGGCGACGACATCTATACATATCCACTGCTCCCTGGCCAGGCCCATCCTGAACCCAGGAGTGGTGCATACGCCCTCCTGGCCACGCCGGGAGGGCGCAGCGTATACACGGCTGCTGGGTTCAGGATGGGCCTCGCCAGGGAGCAGTGGATATGTATAGATGTCGTCGCCCTACATTCCCTGTGACCGGCTTTCTCATCCCGAGCCGTTTTTGGACGGTCTCGGAATCCGGTAAAGGCCCCCGGAAGCTGCAAACAAAAGCAAAAGCCGTTCGCAGTTTCTGTTGGCAGAACAAAAAATAATGATGTGATCGGGAGTCTGGGAAAAGGGGGCGCTCGGGCCCGCACAGCGAGCTCGGGCCCGCGGAACCCGGGCTCGAGGAACTCGCCTCGGGCCAGCGGGCTCCGAGAAATCCGACGCAGAGGACAAATCGCAACGCCGCCGAAAGTCACATCATGGCTGGCGGCATGTGCGCGGCCCAAATGGGGGGCCAGGGACGCATTGAAATAAGACAATTACCCGCTTGTCTCACCAGATGTGTCTCTTCGTCCCTTTTCCCGTCAACTCTGATGGGCAGTGGGCTGGTGGGGATACGCGAAGCGTGGAGAGTAAGTCGCCAGCTTCTGCGCGAACGTTGACGTTGGGGGTCTGGAGACGCCGCCACGTTGCGGAACAAAAACTTGGGGGTTTGATTTCGCGGAGGGCTATATATGGGACGACGAGGACATACCAGCACGATGTGTCCTCCTCGGCGACGTGCACCCAGCCCGAACATACAGTACAACCGTATTGTAGTATATCGTTTCCCGAGCGGCACGGCCAGACATCGCCCGCCCCGAACCATGTGATATGAGATTTCTCGGCGCGCGGGTCGCTCTTGGGGGGGGCGGCGACAAGCCCTTCTCACGTCGCGGCGCGGCAGAAGCGATCCGCTCGCGCGTCCAAGTAACCCGGGCTATGGCATTGCGAATTGTCCCGATGGCGACGCACACATCATATTAGTGGCGCTGATTCTAGCCCGCCCGACCTGCGCTGCGCACGGTCCGCCCCAGGGGCGAACAGGACGCAACTGGCTGGCCATTTCGAGATTGGACGGCTTCCGTCGGGGGGGCCCCGGCGCGGTGCCGGGGCGCCCTGGCTGGCGGCTCCCAGCGCGGCGCGAGCAGACGCTCGCGTACCCAAGGAGGCTTCTCGTTCTGGATCTCTGGGCCCCCCAAGCCGTGTGGTGACGCACCGCGTGGTAACCTCGGCATCCCCAACGACCCCTCCGCGCGGCCCGTCACCGCACGGCCTGGGGATCTCGGAGGCCCCAGTCGCTCGAGCCCTCCTCGAAAAAAGCGACTCGAGGCCCCAAACCGCGTGGTGACCCTGAACCCCCCCTGACTCACCACGTGGCGTGGTCACCACGCCGCTTGCGGTCCCCCGGGGATCGGGGGCCGATCTCCTTCCGGAGCGGAGCGCATGTGCGACGCAGTCCCCCCCGCCGACGCGCCGCGACAGGCGGGGCCATGCCAACGGGGCAGAACCATCGCGACGCGCCGCTCGCCTCCCGAGGCCCCGCGCCTGCGCCATCTCGAGCCGGCTCGCCGCCGTAAAGGGCGGACGTGCGCGCTGGAGCCTCCCAGGGACGGCCAGGGGCCGCTCGGCGCCAATGGCTCCCTGAAGAGGCCGGCAGCGCCTGTCGTAGCGCAGCCGGGGGCACGCCTGCCGAAGGTCAAGCCTAAGGTGCCTCGGGTCCCGACGGCTGCCCCCGAGACGGCTTGCGCGTGCCACCAGGGTTTCGAGCTGCTGGGAAGGCCTGCCGCACCCGGGGATGCCGCAGAGGGTGCCAAGCCACACGGACCACTGCAGGACCGCAGCAGGGCAGCACGGCACGCACCCCCATGGCGATGCGCTGCGATATGACCAGATAGACACACGCGGCCCGCGCTTATGCAACTGGATGCCCGTTTCCTGCGGCTGGGTGCCTCTGCATCCTCTGCGCTGTGCTAGTCTCAAAGGCCGCCGCCAGGTTTTGTTGCTTTCGCGGCGAACGCAACACATGCCAACATCGGCGTCTACCTTCCTGGACACACGATCAATCTTGATGTCTGCTCCCTGGCCTATTCTTAGATTTTGGCGCGGGCCAAAGGCCTTTCAAACCAACTTTTCTGCGACCACTAACGCTTGCCTCGTCGCGTGGCGAAGTGCCTCAGCCGCGCTCGCCAGCCACCAGCGCGTGTTCACAGCAACCGGAGAAAACGGACGGGGTGAGTCTTATCCCCGCGTCGCCGAGATGAGGGCCGCTCCATCCCTGAGTTCTCAACCCTCGTGGGGTCGCGGGAGCACGACCCCCCCATGCCTCCACAACAGGGCGGGCGCCCTTGTGGCGCGGATGTCCAAGCCGCTCGGGCCAACTCCTCCCTCCCAGGGGGGAGCGGAGAAAACAACTTCTCCTTCTCCCCCTCCTCCACCTGCTGCTCCCGCTGCGGGGTGGGGGCCTGGAGGGGTTGGGGTGTGGTTGCGGAGGGCTGTGTGCGAGTATGCCTGCGGCCCCGGATCTTCTCCTCTCCAGGGGGGGATATTCCTGCTCTTGCTCGTCCTCGCTCCTCCTGTGCCCCGTGCGCTGCTGCAGGAGAAAGCCGACAGCCCCATCGCCCCGATCGGGGGTATGAGGTCCAACCCGGAGCTTGTCAACCAGCTCATCGCGAGCATGCGCGCGCTGGCGGCGCGTGCGGTTTGCGGGGCGGGCGCAACAGCACGAAGACACTTTGCGCCGCAACGTCGCGTGGCACGCCTGGGCGGGCGGGCCGAACCTGCTCACTGCTGCGCTCCAGGACACGAAAACGGCGCAGTGTCGATCGCTCGGCGGGCCCGAAGGTGCATGCTGTGCATTGCACAGCTGCCTGATTGCAGTTGGGAGGCAAACGGGGCGAGGCGAGTCAAGAAACGCTGGAACATGCTGTCGGAGGTCACCGTGACGGAGGTATCCAAGCAAAACGTCGTTGCCGAGGGCTGTGCTGTGCGCCGGGGCGGCAGTGCAAAGCAGGGGGCGAACGTCTGGGTCGCTCTTGATGGTGCTTGCGAGCGCCCTGCGCTGGACACCCATTGCTGGCGATGGATTGCCCGTGCCCGTCGATGCGCTCGACCGTCGCATGGCTTCGTTCGTGGTGCGGAGCCGCCCCGCGCGGCAACCCTGGTGGGCCAGCGGGCGGACGGTGCAAGTGCCAGAGAGGTGTGCTTCACGAGTGGCCCATGGAACCATAGAATGAGAAGGCTGTCGAAACCAATGGCAGGACGCCCTTGCCGCAGGGCCCCGCGGCGGACCTGCGTCGGGTCTTCAAGACGCACCGCTCGAGCGTGGACGGTTTCATCAGTGCTCCTGAGCGGCGCCGAGTGATGCGGCATCGGGTGCGGCTCTCGCCTTCAAGGCTGCTGCAGACAAGAAACCACTGCGATGGATGATGACGGCGACGGCCTGCTCAGCCAACAGACGCCAGTGCGCGCTCAGCCGCCGCAGAGCCAAGCATTATGCCTCCGAAGCTGTGGGCCGCTTTGGACGATGGCGATGGGCGCGCGCGCGGCTTGGGCCACGCTGTCGAGGACGCGCCTCGGGGATGCGGCGGGCCGCCAGCCCATCCGGTAACAACAACCCGAAGAGAGTTCTGCCAAGACCCGTCTGGAAACAAGCACAGTCCACTCTGGAAGAGAACATACCCAGCACGCGCTGCTGGAGACCCGCCCATATACCGCGCGGGTCTGGGTCGCGGTCGGCGCGCACCAGAGGGAGATCAGGTCGAGAGTTTTACCCCTGCTGCGGCTTCCTCCTCCTTCTCCTCCTCCTCCTTCTGCTGCTCCTCCTGCTGCTGCTCCTCCTCCCCCGGCCAGCCCCCGGAAGCCTGGGTCTCTGGAGGTCTCCAAGAGGAAGCCCCCGGAGACGGGACCTCCGGAGGCTCCTTAGAGTCCAAACCCCCGATCCTCGAGGCCATTGCTCTTCAATCCCACCTCAATCTTCGATCCTCGATCTTCGAAGCCTCTCGATCCTCGAGGCCCCTCGATCCTCGAGGCAAGCCGAAGGTTCCACCTACATCCTCGATCCTCGAGTTCCGCCTCCTTCTCCTCCTCCGCCTCCTCCTCCTCTTTCTCCTGCTCCTCCTCCTCCTCCTCCTCCTCCTCCTCCTCTTTCTCCTCCTCCTTCTTCCTCCTCCTGCTGTCGCTGTCGCTGTCGGCCTCGGAGTTCGGATCGAACGCCGCCTCCCCATCCCGCAGCGCGGATCGCACGCGGAGCGATCGGGGCGGATTCCTCGGAGTTCGGGTCGAAGGATGAGGAGAAGGACGAGGAGGAAGAGGAGGAGGAGGAGGAGGAGGAGGAGGAGGAGGAGGCGGAGGTGGTGGAGGAGTTCGGGTCGAGCGCGGAGCGATCGGGGCGGAGCGATCGAACGAGCGCTGTCGGAAGCAGGAGTGAAGGGAACACGACGGGCGGAGGATCCCCCGTGAGGGGCGGGGCCACTGTGTCACCCCAGCGCCCCAGGGGCCAAGGGGGGGGGGGGAGGCGAGGAAGGAGGACCTCATGAGCCTCCTCCTGCTGCTGGTGCTGCTGCTCTTCCTCCTCCTCCTCCTCCTCCCCCTCCTCCTCCTC